TTCGCTTTGCAACCTTAATGTTCTTTTAACGTATTTTTGAATATAATTATAATTACAGTTTATTTGATATTTATATTGCACCAGGAAAGTCCTCTGATTTATAGTCATTTTGTACCACGAATGTGTGTGGTGCTGTCATCGTATTGTTGTAAATCATAATGGAAAATAAACAATATGCTGAATTGCATATTGTGTTGTCAATTAATGAGTATGCGGTTTTTCAAAATCATCCCTGCAATATGATTTTCCCCTTTTTCCAAGTGTGTTCTATAGTGTAATGAATGTTTCCCATTTTCAGTACAATAATTTCTACTGGGTATGAAGTGCACTGCAATATTTTGTGCTGTGTCAGTGCCATGAAGGACAGCAATTTGAATAGCCCTTGTTAATTACTTTAATTGTGAATTTCTCTGTCAGTGGTCTGCAGTACCATATAGTTCTTTATTATATGCTGCAGTTAAGCCCTGTTTAATTGTCATAACCCATCACTCTCTGTCATGTCACGTCACTGTGGAGGGATTATGTAGCCTCGTGAACTAGGATTTGTGTTTTTTTGATCAACAGTGCTTGCCTAATACTTCTACCATTATCTGCTCTGTTCACATTAGCTAAGGCTTGACTTAATCCTGGCCATCCCCCTTTTTCTCCTGACACAAAGCAGCGAAGATGGTCAGGTCGCTTTTTCTTTGATTATCAGTGATTGCTTGAAAAAGTATGAATGAATTGTGAGTATTCTATTCATGTTGTTTCCATTACGAGTTTGTATAACGGATTATGTGACATTTTCTAAAAAGATAGCACTTGCTTTTGAAAGAGCAAAAGAGTTTTTCATTTTGACAAGAGAATTTACATGTTTGTGTTGAGCAGTGCCAGGCTTTTAAGAATCTTTTGTATGGAGAGGTGGTAGCTTCTTCACAAAGGCTAACTCTAGATTTATAATATAAGCCCTCTTTTAGCCTTGCTCCCTCCTGTAAAATCCTCAAAATGGTAATTTCCTCTTCAAATTTTGCATAAATAGTCTGTGGCCAAAGAACCATTTTTGTTCAAATTTGAGGTAATTCGGAAACTATTTTCTTATATGGTACTAGGAAAAAAAAGTATTAATCATATCTTTAAAATTCTTGTTAATGATGCTTTTAGCCATATCTGATACTTTTACGTACTAAAAGAGACTGGCCACGGCAGATTTTTCATTTCTTATACACTCCCCTCAATTTTCTGCTCTTGTCTTCATTAGCACTAGCTGTTCCATTCCAGGAGAATCTGTTCTTACTTCTTTACCACCTGAGCCAATTTCGTTATTCCTCATTCCTCTCCGGGAAAAAAAGTTTGGAGGAAAGGCTGGGAATGTCTTTTGAAAGCATCTGTGGCTATTGAAAAGACTCCAGGAAATGAGCCCACAGGTATCCCCATGCCACATTGGTGAGGGAGGGAAGTGCAGCTGCCCTTCACTGCCATGACTCTGGACACAAGACTGCCTTCACCAGAACAATGCGGACTCATTGGAATCTGCTCAAAGGCAGCTGGACATGGATGTTGATGTAGTTCTCTGGGGTAAACTCTTCAGCACGCTCATCTGCAGGTTAAATGTGGTGGTGTATAAAGTTTCCTGCACAGTAGCAGGCTTTTCAGCAGCACTGCCACCCCCTGTCTGGGAAGGCTGGTGGTACAGAATCTTTACACCCTCTTGTCCTGTGTATAAGTAAGAGTTCTCTTTCACCTATAGATGCAAGGAGAAGGTGGCAGAACTCTCTCCTCACTCACTTAGGGAGGTATGTGATAGAATCTTCCGTCATGGGCATGATACACCTTTGATTCCAGCAAATGGAGGGAGAAGAAATTTGTGGGGCTAAAGAAAATGATGCAGTACTGTGGAATCCATGGCATCTGTCCATGAAATGCCATTACCAAATTACTTTGTCAGTCTTCACAGGACTAGCGTATTGTCTGCTACCGTGTCCATATCCGTCAGTAGTGGAGAGGTGGCAGTTGTCAGCATCACCTTATCGGAGCCCAACATAGGAAGCTCAGTTTCAACTTCTGTAGTCCCCACAGAACTCCTAAGCAATCCAGTCTTTCTCCCTTACTTGCAGTTTAGTATGTCTGCAGAGTTGCTAAACTCTTTAGGCTTTCTCTGGCCACCCTAGCTCCCCAGTCAGACTTCATAGATTTCCAGGGACCTTTCTGATCCCAGACCTAATTCCCAGAAACTGGAAAGCCAGGGAAGCCTGAAGAGTTTAGGAATTCTGCAGACACACTAAACTGCAAGTAAGGGAGAAACACTGGATACCTCAAGGCATTGAATCTGGTATGTCAATGGAATAAAACTTTCGGTAGATAGTGGTTCCTTCCTCCTACTTAAAAATGGAGATGAAATTGAGATATCTTTCCCAGTATTGTAGTAGAGGTAAAATGTACAGGGAATAACACTCACAAATTAGCAAAAGGATATGGTGCAGAGAAAGTCATATAATCAATATTTGCTTTCTCTCACTCATGTTTTGTACCATCATACTGCTTATTTTCAAAATAGCTGATATTGTTCTTGAGGTAATATGTATTATAGAGTAAATACAAATTGTTCTGTCAAATGATTAAATCTATCAAATAAAGTGACCAGTGTTGATGTAATAAAGTGATATTTGCCTGCTATTGACCTGTGATATTCTGACTGATCTGAAGAACAGACTTACTGTTTGCCTAAGCCATTCAGAGACCAATTTGTCCTGTTTAGCAAAGTACCTTACAGTATGGTTTGATTCAGGTTTTTGTTTTTACAAATAAGTTAATTTATGACTGGCATGTGAGCCAAGAATAAATTTGTAAAGCATTTCTGCTTGTCTTTAACTTTAAATTAACAAAAATTCAGTGCCAGCTACATTACTCCTCTGTTACTTTTGATATTTTGAACTCATGAAAGTGGGGAAATTCAGACCTGAACTTGCTGCTAGAACTTTTACTCTGCCCTCTTGCATGTGTACATTATGGAAAAGTCATTAGCACTGAGTAATCTGGTGTACTATTTGGCAAGTGTTGCCAACTCCCTCAACTTTTTCACAAGTGGCATGATTTTGACGGGGGCAGGCACCAGTCTCACAATGATGAGAGGCGCTCCAGACCACAAGTGAATTTGAGCCCTCTGATTGGCTGTTTGGCCCACTTGACTACCTCCTGGGGCAGAACAACCAATCAGAGCTGATACAGGGTTCTGTGTCCCCCTCTCCCTCGCAACCTGAAGCTGTTTTCACAGGAGGGGAGGAGGGAGCTAAAGGGCCCAGTAGCATCTGGCCTGGGAGGGGCCAGAGGGGGTGAAGAGCTGCTGGAGCTGCCCCCCACCCAAGCCTGCTGGAAGAGAGGGGATTCTGCTGCAGCCTCCCCACCCCTGCCCCCACCCCGCTTGGAGGGAGCAGAAATGAGGCTTGTGGAGGGCCAGAACTGATGACTGGGGTTGGAAGGGGAAGAAATAATTGCCAGGCAGGGGACACGTGGATGTGGGGGTGAGAGATCCTTCAACAGAAGCCAAAATCACCTTGCCCAATAAATTTGGGAGCATAGGTGACAGTTATTGTCACTCTCAGAAAGGGGGAGGGGGGCTTACATGTGTGCAGACATTTTGTGTGGTGTAGAACCCACTTGCACTGCAGGGGCAGAGTATTCTGTGCAGATCCTCTCTCCAATTCACCATATAGGGGATGTGTAAGTGTCACGTGTGGCAGCTGTGCAGCATGCTGCAGCCTGGAGGAATGAGATGGATTCTTCTTCCCTGCACATCTTCTTGATATCTGGTCAGGCTACTTGGAGTGGGCACTCGAGTTTGGCCTTGTCCTTCATTGTAGTGAATTTTGCTATATGTTAATATGAGAGAGATCAAGAATATTGAGCAATTATTGGACATGCAATGAGTGGTGTTCATAAAATTTCACCATCCGCTTAAGACAGATTTACTGACATAGTTCTCATTGTAAGAATAGAGAATGTGACAAAATACCACAGCCCGGTAAATCTTGATTGTACTATTAAGAGCCATAAGAATACATCACAATGGATCTAAAGAATAAACTGTTTTGACCATTTAAAAACCTGTATTTGGACTGTGTAACAGCAAAACTACCATGAACAAAAAACTAGTACACATTAAGGCTAACGTTCACATCCAAATGTATCCATGTACAGTATTTGAAAGATTCTCATCGCCTATGCAGCATAAAGTTTAGGTTGTCATATTCCCTTTCTTGCACAGCTAACGATTTCACATATAGCTCATAATATTAAAAGGGAGGGAAGGGTCAGTTAAATTTACCCAGAGCATCCAAGAAAATACTGGGAGTACTTTGTGTTTTTTCCTTTTGCTAATTAGGGTTTTACTACCTTAATTCAGTTTAATGTTTTAATATTATTTTTTACAACAGTAAATTTGTGTTTCATCTAAGGTTTCAGTGCAACATCTTGTTTACCAATATCATTACACTGTATTAAATGGATACACTTGCGTTCGTTAGGGTACCTGTACACCTGTATGCTTAAGGCTGTAAAAAAAAAAATAGTGATTTTTTTTTTCCAAAGTTGCAGTCATAGTTTAAGTTGTGGTTCAAGACATGCAGCCTACCTTCCAAAGTAGGGCAGCAGGACAGAAGAAATGCCATGTGTCCCACTTGGTGGTCAAAAAAGCATGATGGAGGGGTGGCTGGGCCAAATCTGAATGATTGGCATTGCAACCCTGTGTGCCAAGTTGCGGTGCCACTCTCTGGGATTTAGCCTACCTGCTGGCCAAATTTGAGTAGCATTGCAACATGGTGCATGGGTCACAATGCCACTAACATTTGCAGCAACTCTAAAAAGTTGCTGTGTGTGTTAAAAGTTGCAGTTTCTGCAACAAAATTGTGGCACATGATTTTCTTACAGCCTTAGTGATGCTGATAGTTTGCATATATAATATAATTAATATGCTGTTGCTGTTCTCTTCTGTATAATATATTAATTACATCCCTCTTTAATTTTAGTTGTGTGCCTGATTGCCTATCACCTATTTTTCATGCTGTTTGTCTGGTCTTACTGGAAAACAATCTTTACATTACCAGTGAATCCTTCAAAAGAAGTAAGTTGAGATTTGGGACAAATTACATTTATGTTCATTTCTGATATATGCAGTTTTCAGGTGATTTTAAGTGGTCAAATGACATTTGGGGGGCTGGATAACGTACACTTTATACCTTATATACCTGAAGGTCACCAGTTCTAATGTGACCCTGACTGGTAGTGATAAGTGATTGTTACCATCATGTTGGTGGTTTGATATATTATGGGAAAGAAATTAAATGTAGCAAACATTTGTGTGCTAACAGAGGACAATAAAATACAAATGTTTTAGTTAGGGAGGTGTTCATTCTTTGGGGGGTAGTGCACATAAATATATAATTTTTTGCAAATCTATTTGAGATGGAGTGTTTTAAATTAGTTCAGATGTCCTATTGTCGTAGTGTCAGTTATATTCTGAAAAATCACTTTTGCCTCCCATTCAAAAAGTACTGTTTTCTGAGCATAAACAATCAAGTCCTCATGCTGTCGTTGCACGAAGGGGTAAGAGGGATTTCTAAAGTGGACGCCCCTACTGGCTCAGCCAGAGAGAGGCTCACTTGTGGGTCATCTTGTAGAACAGCTGCCTACAGACGCTGAGAATCCCAATTAGTCTGTGCTCAGGTAAGGTCTAAGACGTTCATACTGTAAGTCCAGCTACAGTTGACTCAGCTAATCAGTTAAATCTAAATTCTAATGTCTAGTTATAGTACTACAGAGGGATTGGATAAGAGGGATCCGCTTGTCTGGAAGAATATGAGGAAGATGGAGCAGAAAGCTGAATTCATCCTAATACAGCTCCAGGAATAGTACATGTTGCCTCTTGAATCAGGTTTACTCTCTAGGTACCATTCTCTGAAGCATATGAAACTTTCACACCTGAAATTAGAAAAACTAGAAGACAAAATTATGCTTCTCTTATGCACTACAGTCAGTGGGACTACTTGTGTGAGTAAAACAGGCAGGATTTGGCCCTAATTTTGAAGAAAAGTTATCTGTTGCTTTTCAAACTAATCATTACATAAGAAAGAAATACATTTTCCTATGTAATTTATCCGGTTACCATACTATGGACTCACTACCATGCCTCCATAGTTGAGGTTGCATTAAGAGTTTTTATTTTGTTCCCCTCTTCCTCATCTGTTTGATCTCAGAAAGCAAATCGGTTAAAATTTTCTGGATAACGTAAAAGAGAAGGATAATTTTTCATCCAGAAAATTTCATGACTGTGCACGTAGTTTCCATATACAAGTTAATCAAAACTTAACAGCTTGAAAAAATCATGCAGAGCTTCAGAAAATGTTCTTAATCTCCACTGCTTCCGCCACAGGGTTCACTTTTAAACTCCCGAATTGGCACATATACTTTGGCCTGCATTGAGCAAAGGATTATTTGTAAAGGCATGGAGTTTTTTCATAGAATCATAGAGTATCAGGGTTGGAAGGGACCTCAGGAGGTCATCCTTGCTCAAAGCAGGACCAGTCCCCAACTAAATCATCCCAGCCAGGGCTTGGTCAAGCCTGACTTTAAAAACCTCTAAGGAAGGAGATTCCACCACCTCCCTAGGTAACACATTCCAGTGCTTTACCACCCTCTTAGTGAAAAAGTTTTTCCTAATATCCAACCAAGACCTCCCCCACTGCAACTTGAGACCATTGCTCCTTGTTCTGTCATCTGCCACCACTGAGAACAGCCTAGCAGCATCCTCTTTGGAACACCCTTTCAGGTAGTTTTTAAAAAGGTGAATAACAATGTAACTGTCATTTTTTGAATGGAATCCCCTTCATGATATTTGGTGTATGAAAGTAAACTATATCTATTAGCCAACCAAACCAGCTGCTACCTTCTGCTTCCCTGCCCCCTTGCACACTCCTTTATTCCCTCATGGGCCTTGCACAACACTCCACCCTCCTCTGTGTTCTCCACACAGACTCACCCTCCTCCATTGGCCCTCACCCCACAAGTCTAAATAAGCTGGCGATGCTTAACTAGCCAAAATTGTCTTCAGGCTGGAAAGGACGTAGAGACCTATGTTACTCCTCCTCCGTCCTGAGCTCCAGAAGTCCACTGCTCTAGTGCTGCTCCTACCCCAGACCCACAACTTTTGGTTCCCATATTCCCCTCACCACCACTCAGATAAAATAGTCAAGATAATTAGACAACATAAGTTATACAGGGGGAAGTAGTGAGAGCACCATCCAATACTCGTAGGTATATATGTTATGGATGTGCTCGTCATGTGACCTCCATAGTTGCAGGTCAATTAAGAGTCCTTTTGTAAATCATATTTTAACCATCCTACTCTCCACAAACCCACTGTCATTTTATAGCAAAGAGCTATTACTATGAAAATTTTTATGATTAAGGAGAAAAAGAAAATGTTCACATGTGTAGGAGGAAAAACTTCAAGTGGCAAGCACTCATCATGAGCCTTTTTCAAAAAGTAGAAACAATTTGCTTTTCACTGGTTTATGCACAAGAATTGGATAGTAAGTTTGATGCTGAATTGCTTATGTAACCTTAACTTGTGATTTTCATGGTTAATGTTTAGGCTTTTTCAAATGCCCCCCCCCTTTCTTTTAACGTGGGAACCATGAACACATTTACAAATAATTTATCATGAAAGATCATTGTTGCTCTAAATAAACAGTTCAATTCTGCATTCTGCCACAATACAGTCATCAGTGACTTCTATTGACTTAACTTAGCAACATTTGCTGTATCTTTTTGGGGGGGGGGGGGGGATATTAAAAAATTTTTAAAGTTTAATCTGTTTTTCATTTGGTATTTACATGCCACAATTTTTATAATTATACTCTTTTGGAGTGTCGGTTTGTGCGTGAAGACTATATAGGAATAATTAGACGAGGGATCTACTCAAATTCTTATAGACCAATTTCAATAGAAGATGTTGAGAAAAGGCTGCTACTGAGTGCTAGTCATATGATAAATCATTAAATATACCTGGGTTGGAAAGCAACTATTTCATACTATCAGCAGGATAGCCGTGTTCGTCTGGATCTGTAAAAGTGACAAAGAGTCCTGTGGCACCTTATAGACTAACAGACATATTGGAGCATAAAGCTTATGCTCCAATACGTCTGTTAGTCTATAAGGTGCCACAGGACTCTTTGCCGCTATTTCATACCGTTAGAGTTTAAAATGGACTATCAGATTAAATGTAGCAAATCTAGTTATTAGAAGGCAATGTCTACTGTTCCAGTAGTGCTTTTGAACTTAATTGCCAGCAGCATTATGCAACAACATCCTTGTTCAGCAGTGTAGAAACGGATGCTAAAGGACAGGTCTACTGGACATCATCCCTTTAATTAATTACAAGTAATTTAGTGCTACAAAATACTCTGGGTTCTAGGTAAGCATAAAATGATGTACAGTAGAACCTCAGAGTTATAAATACCTTGGGAATGGAGGTTGTTCGTAACTCTGAAATGTTTGTAACGTTGAACAAAACATTATGGTTGTGCTTTCAAAAGTTTACAACTAAACATTGACTTAGTAAAGTTTCAAGCTGTATTATGGAGAAGAAAAATGCTGCTTTTAACCATCTTAATTTGAATGAAACAAGCCCAGAAGCAGTTTCCTTAGCTTGTCAAATCTTTTTTTTTTAAAATACTTTCCCTTTATTTTTTAGTAGTTTACATTTAACACAGTACTGTTCTGTATCTCCCCCCACCCCCCGCTTTTTTTTTTTTTTTTTTTTTTGGTCTCTGCTGCTGCCTGATTGCATACTTCCAGTTCCAAATGAGGTGTGTAGTTGACTGATCAGTTCATAACTCTGGTGGTTGTAACTCTGAGGTTCTACCATAACATACTGCTTCTGTTCCTTTATAAGGTTAAAGTCGCCATAACTCCCTAGTATGTTCTTCCTGTGCTGCTTGAGTAGTCTGTCCAGGTGTGTTGAGGGAGAAAATTGACATTGCATAGTGTGCACTAATTTGTTGACTTTGCTAAGTATGATTCCTTAACACAATTCCCCTTCCTACTTTCCTACCTATTATGTATTATATTTTCTTTTCTTTGCCCCCTCTTATGACATTGAAAGACTAAAGTAACTAACTTCTGTTCAATAGCCAGTTGGATTTATTCAGTATCACAGGGGTGGACTTTGGGCTTGTCTACAGGAACATTTCATTCATGTCAAGTTGGGATGTGAATTTAAATCTACTCTGCACTAGCCTGCTGCGGATGAACTGTGGACCCTCCTGACATCCATTAACAGTTCATTAATACACTTTGAGGTAGTCTTCTTTGAAACTTGTCAAGAGAATGGTAACCAAATGGTCTAAGGATATATCAGTTAATCTTGCTTAATTTTAAACATTTGGAGTTCCTATTTTATCTTAAGGAGAGCAATCAATATTAGGTGGATATACACTGGAATCAGAAAATGTTTTAAATTGCTTTTGACTAAGAGGAGAAATGAAAAAATACCAAAACTTGAATTTCTCTCTCTTGGGAACAATTGGTTGTTTGCTACAGTATTTTGCACATACGGCTACTTCATCATTATTTAATGAATATCTTTCTTTTTAATTGAAGTAAAAGTCCACAAAAATGTAATTTTCTAGGCATTACTAATTAAAAATTACATTATTTTTCCAGTTCCATCTGTCATATGCAGACAAAGAACTGCTGGAAAGGGAGCCTAGAGGTGAAGCCCAGCAAGAAATTTTTAGGCGAGCAGCCAAGGACCTTCCTATCTATACAAGGACAATGTCTGGAGGTAAATTCTGTTTGTTTCTGTGGTCAGTGAGACAAGTGTCTTGATACATTCATTGTCAGTAGGAAGTGAGATTTTTAGACAATGTTTTAAAAAAATGAATTGTCTTTCAAAGCTTAAAAGAAAAAACTGACCTAAGAATGATGCCCTATTATTATTATTTAGTAGAAGTACATTATTTAAGATTCTGCAAATGCAGATTCTATGTAGTAATGAGTAATTATGGTAATAGAATTAACAAGACACTAAAAACAAAGAATGTTAATACTCAAATATTAGTCAAAGTTAATCTGATTTTTCTATTAAGCTTTATACATACCCACGATTTGTAACTGAAGACTGATTGAAAACACACTAATACTATTCAAATCCTAACTAGTGTCAAGACTGGTTTCAAAAGCAGCACTGGTTTACCTGTAGTTATTTGATAGCTTGCAGTATTAACAAACACTACAGGAAGGTGAAATATATATTTGAAGGTTACATAATTTGACTTCTGTTTTTCATTCCTGAAAAGGTAAATATTAATATAAGATTGTCTATGGCACCTACTATTGTGGCACCTATGCACGTCAGCTACAGTGATGAAGAAATATTAGCAAGAGCAAACGCCAAATCTGAAAACTAAACAGTCAAAGGCCTTGCATTATATCTTCAGTGTAATTAGTTTCAGATTACGCATGTCTGTCAAGTAAGCAAACCCTAAAGGCAATATACAAAATAAAATCTATTATTAGGATAAAATCCTAAAATGGCTTCTTAGAATTAATGTGAATTTATTTATTAATTACTAATCATGTTACATAGCCTTTTATTGTATTTTTAGGTTTTGCAATGCTGACTTTTCTTTATTTGAAAAGTAGCTTCAGTGAAAAGCTTTAATAAATAATCCAGAATGCAATTTGTTGGAATATTTCTCATGTGTATTAAAAATTCAAAATGAACTTCACAAGTAGCTCTTAAATAGCCGTTATGTTAGGTGCTGAACATGTGCAACTCCCACTAAATTCAGATTGAATCATTTTATTGGAAGTTTCAGGGAATTCAGGATTTGACTATAAATATTTATTTTTGAGTGGGTCTAAAGATGTTAAAATGTGCATAACTTTATGTTAGATCTAATGCAACATGGATATTTTTTCTTCTCAGCAATCAGATACTGTGACAGATGCCAACTTGTAAAACCAGACCGCTGCCATCACTGTTCCGTGTGTGACAAGTAAGAACAATTTTTTAATGTTAAACAATTGTTAAATCTTATTAATGCAAAAGAAAATAATTATAAAAATGCTTCTGCTAAATGGTAAAGAACTGAGCAATACATTTTTTGCTACTTTCTTGTTAATTACAAAAAATTATTTGGTGTTTCATTACAAAGACACTCTGAAAGGTATTTTTAAAGGTTTGTTTCTGCTTTTAATTTTCCGTACAAGCATCAAGAATGTTTACTTTTCTTTTTTTGTTTTTTATTGGACAATTTCTGGGTGAGTTCAGGGAGATGTGATTTAAACTGGTGGTTTAAAATCTAAATCAGCAAACAGGAAACCTTGATTTAAATAATTAATTTTATCTTGTATTACATCTGTACTTTTTAGTTATTTTTCTAAAGAGAGGTACTTTCTCATTGGTAACCATTAAAACATGTTTTGTAACTAAATATAGCCTTGATTATCCATTTGATACTCTTTTTTGCTAACTTGTAGGATACACTATATCTGTATACATTTATTTAAGCAATTATATAGCTTAATATACATTTATTCAGATTTGTATTTTTTGATTGTAAGAAAATAGCAAAAGAGCCATTTCTTGTTTTTTAGATTTTTTTTTTTAACTTGTGATATGTGTCAAGCTGCCTTTGGATGGAAATTGGAATTCAATTAAAAATGCACAAAACATTTTTAAATTGTTTTTTTAATAAATAAAACTACCCTAAACGTATTGGATGCATAAAAAAATCAGCTTAATCAAACTGTTTTGTATTTCAAACTTTGATTTATTAAACAAAAGTAGTATTGTCTTTTACTGAATTGAACAGTGATTCTGTCCACTATGTCCTTTGGGATTTTAGAACTAGTAGATCTCATCCTCACACATTGTTTTTATTCATGTATTGCAAGAGGAAAACAAGCTTTCCTGCTTTTTCAGCTCCCAGTGGGTTGCTTGACTTTGAATGAAGTAGTCATTGAACTGAGCTAGTTGAATAAACTGAATTTAAGATATTATTCTTTTGCCCCTGTCAAAAGCTAGGTTTAGCACTTCAATAAATTCTGGTTCCACGTGCTTAGTCAGTGACTTTCACCAGTTCAATGGTTTGAATTTCTTTAAAATTGTGGCAGCAAACATATACTGGTTGAATATTCAATTTAATTTAGTTTAAATTATTTTAATAGATTATAGTAAATTTAGGCCTTAAATGTAGGTTGTCAGTTTCAATTTTAATTTTAAATAGGTTGATTTTTAAAAAGAAAAAATGTATTGAATTTAAATTTAAAAAAAACTTTCACTGATTTTTATCCACCGTAGATAATTCGCATGTGGATTAGGAGTGCTCTCTTCCCTTAGTAGAAGGGTGAGGATGTTGAATTGTTAATGAAGAGCTTTTCTCCTGAGCGTTTTAGTTAAATTGCTGTTAACAAAATGTGGTGCTTTAAACAGTCCAAATAAAGATTTCTAGCCTTCTTAAATAATCGTACATCACTTCCTTGGTATCTCTGAGGTCTTAAACGTATTCGTTCTCCAGTCATCCGTTGTCTTCCAGAGTGGACATAACTTTTGAAGGATAAAAACCTGGATCCCCCCACACTAAGTTCCTCCACACTTGGATCCTGCCATGATGAGCCTGCCTGCCCACACCTGGTGTGCCTGGCATGGAGGGCCAGGGCCACGAAGTGTTTCTGGGGTGGGCTCGGCCCTTGTACTGTGTCAGGGTTGAGTGTAGCTCATCGCTGAGTCTATGTCCTGGGAGTGGGGGGGCTGCAGGGTGATCTCCCACCTCTGTGCAGCCAGTGGCCTCTGCTCCCCACTGCCATCCTGGAGCCTCCACATTTATTTATTGACAAATAAAATTTGCAGAATTTTAAGATATTGCGTGCATAATTTTTATATTTTTGGTGCAGAATTCCCTCAGGAGTAATTATCCTAGTGCTTAGGAGCCCTAGTCATGGACCAGGACCTCATTGTGCTAGATGCTATACAAACACAGAACCAAAAGACAATTCCTCCCCTAAAGAGACAATAGATGGATACAGACCGACAGGGGCGTACAAGGAAAGAGGCAGGATTGGTCAGCATGGGTAGGCAGTGGTCTCAGTACACAAGCAGCCTAACTGGTGTCAGGAATTTTGTAGGCATCACAGCAAAGGAGAGTTTAAAAAAGAGTTTGAAGGAGTACTGGGGTAGCTTTGCAGCTGTTTAGAGGGTGTACCTCCCAAGCATGAGGAACAGCTTGAGAGAAAGCACAAATGTGCTTGTTTGAAAATGTAACGGTTGGGCATTGGAGGTTGGCATCGTAGGTTGATCTTTGTCAACTTCTGCAACAACTTGTGGATAATGTCAATACAAATTCATGGTAATGTGCTCATATATAGTAACTTGTTAAGTTGTGTAATAAAAGATGGCAAAAATATAATTTGAACCGCCAACTATTACTTTTCAAAGGGGGGAAAAGTCTACTTGTTCTATTGTAGGCAGGTGGTGCATTATGTGAGCAGACTTGACTATAACTGTGAATGAGATTTATTCTGAAGAAGGCTATGTAGCTGTTTGGCAACCCATTCTCCTGGATATATGAAATCAGATATTTTGTAGCAATTGTGTTTAGTTTAAACTCTAAACTTCCTGTTTATTTTCCCATAATTTTAGCATATATATAATTGTTTGCTTTCTTTTAAAGATGTATTTTGAAAATGGACCATCATTGCCCTTGGTGAGTATAGTTCATACCTTTTATTTCCCAAATTAGATGAGATACAGTTTTGAGGGGCTTCATGTGAAAGACATGTTTCACTAAAAAGAAAAGGAGTACTTGTGGCACCTTAGAGACTAACCAATTTATTTGAGCATGAGCTTTCGTGAACTACAGCTCACTTCATCGATGAAGTGAGCTGTAGCTCACGAAAGCTCATGCTCAAATAAATTGGTTAGTCTCTAAGGTGCCACAAGTACTCCTTTTCTTTTTGCAAAGACAGACTAACACGGCTGTTACTCTGAAACATGTTTCACTATTACAAGAGACTGGAGTATATAGACGAGAAGATTCTTTCCAGCCCAATGATGAGTCTGTTATAGTTTGGCATAGTAGAGTGATGCAGTTCCCATTTTACACTGTATATATGCATTTTTTTAAACTTGGATGAACATATACATAATATTTTAGGTACTAAAAGATTTTTTCATTCTTCATGAATTGGGAAGAAAATTATTAAGGAATAAGTAGAACCTAGTCAGGACATAGGATAGACTGATGATTGGGGCCAAAACCTTGGATTTCAAAGTTACCTTTTTCAGCTGCTCCTGAAGCCTGCTTCCTGGAGCCACTTAGTCTAGCATATGTCAATGAAGGTAGCCTGAGAGGGTCCCCTACATTGCCATCTTAGCCATTGTCAGATCTATAAAGGATATAAAACTCATGTCTTTGGAGGAATCGCAGACATGTTCATGTTTGTTATAAGACATCAATTAATTAATGATGGCTTGAAAGGCTGATGGAGTTATTTGTTTATCACTACAAACATGCTGATAATGTGTATATGGCTGGGGATATTTTTAAAACAAAAACTAACTGGATTTAATCATATTCCTTTCCTTTTACCCTTTATATGTCAGTTACTTAGGCAATTACCATATTGTTCCACCCTATCATCCTCAGAGGTGTGGGGTAAGAGGGAGAGGCTTTGTCTGGGGAAAAAAAACCTTTGGCTTTTCTACGGGAGTTTGAAGAGGGGCACCATTCTGCACTGGGAAGAAAAGCTTCTCTCCCTTGGGATTAGAGTAGGACCATGTTTTGGGGCCTTGCTGTGGTCAGGCTAGTCACCCCTTAGGGCTAGGAAGCAATTTTTCCCTCACTGCTGGAATGACCTGGGCATTGTGGAGATTTTCTTTTGCCTTTCTCTCAGAAGCTCAGGGACCTGGTGGGTAAGTCAGGTTGTAAAATTAAGTTTTGTTGCAACTTGGCAGGTGCCAAGTGCAGGTAATAGGGGGGCCCAGTTTCTGATAAACTGAAGTTGGAAGTGGATTAGGAGAAGGCATCTCCTAATAAAGGTGGGGAATGGGGTAGGGAGTCATAATGTCTGGAATAGCAAGGAGACAAATGCCTCTTCTGTCCCCCTTTAGTCCTTGTATGAGGAGGCAATGGGGTCCTAGCACTGCTGCTGGCACCAGATGAATGGGATGGGGAACTGACAGCAGTCCTCCACCAGTTGGTATGGATTACAAAGGAACGATGACCTGCAATGGATGGGTTACTCTTGGACAGTTCCCAGATGTGTTCCTCAATAATGTCGAGGCCTAGTTAAAACACATTCCTGGTGTCTTGTCTTTCTACAGTGCCTTGGACAGTGTCTTTTTGTAAAATACTTAATACACTGGGGTTGTGATCTTAATCTGGAGCCTCTTGCACTACTGTAATTTCAACAGTTAATAATAATTTCACCAATACTTCTAGCAGTTGTATGTGACTTTCATGCTCACAGTACCATGTGTTACAGAAGTGGGCTACCCCAGTAGCATAAACGTTTCTAAAATAAATTGGGACATTGGTTTATAGAGCTCTTCTGGCCTTCAAACAACACCCCTATCCCTCCAAATTCATCATCAGAAGCAAGCACCCCGCAGACCAAGACACACCAGCTCAAAGCAGCACCAGGCCTTGCCAGAATAACAGGTGCAAAACCTACAGACATATCTCCACTGCTAGAATGATCAGCACCCCCACAACACACCTTTCAAGATCCATGAGTCCTACACATGTGTATCGCAACATGTGGTGCATCTCATCCAGTGCACCTCATCCAGTGCACTAAGTGCCCCAATAACAACTATGTGGGTGAAATCAGACAATCACTACACTCTCCAATGAATTCTCACAGGAAAATGATAAATGACAAAAAAAACACTGTATCACCTGTGGGGAACAGTTTTCACTAAGTGATCACTCCACATCTGACCTATCAGTCCTCACCCTCAAAGGAAACCTGCACAATACTTTAAAAAGATGAGCCTGGGAGCTTAAATTCATAACTTTGCTAGACACTAAAAATTACGGACTCTGGATTTATGGCTTATTACAACAATCTATAATCCACTAACACTCCCCTCCTGTTCTGTGTTCTCCCACCCGCTTCCTCTCCTCACTATGACTAGAGGGGTGTTAACAGGCCACTTCAGTTTGAATGATCCCTTGAAATGTGTGTTAATTACTTATGATAAACGATCTTTTCCACTTTGTATTTAGCTGTGACTAAGGCTAAGATTTGTCATGGTTATTTTTAGTAAAAGTCACGGACAGGTCACGGGCAATAAACAAAAATTAATGGAAGCCATGACCTGTCTGTACTTTTGCTGCCTCGGGTTTCCCCCCTCACCGTGGTAGCTGGGAGCTGTGGGGTTTCCCGTCCACCCGCAGCAGCTGGGAACTGCAGGGTAACCATATTTCCCAAAGAGAAAATGGGACACCCCACCCATTTCCCAAGGCCGCCCCCGCCCGCTGCGTGAAGCGGTCACCCATTGGTGGAACCCCGAGGAGGGCCCCCTCCGGAGTCTGTCACTTATCGCTGCAACTTTGCAGGGGGCCCCCTGTCACTTGTCGCTGCTGTCACTGGAACCCTGCCAGGGCCACACTGGCTGTCAGCTCCAGAGTCCTGCAAGCCCCTGGGGCTGAAGGAGAGAATGTCACGGACATCTTTAAAAGTCATGGATTCCATGACTTCCATGACCTCTGACATAAACGTAGCGTTAGCTGTGACACTCTGAATACGTTTCCCAGAACTGAAGAAGAGCTCTGCATAAGCTCGAAAGCTTGTCTCTCTCACTAACAGAAGTTGGTCCAATAAAAGATATTATTTCACCCACCTCGTGTCTCTCATAAAATTTAGCTTTTTCTTCTACAGTGTTAATTCTCAGTGCTGAACAAATTGTTCAACCCTTTATAAGCACAACTAGATTCTTGTCATGGAAAATGCTATTTCCATTGATGTTATCTTCAGAGTCTTGGAGGTTTTCAATATTTAATTACAAATCAAGCTATTATAAGGTTCACAAAACATGTAGTTTTTTCTAAACTTGATTTGTCATGTGTTATCCTAAGGGAGACCCAAATTTTCATGTGAATTTAGAAGTCAAATTAGAAACCCATTGCCTCAAGCTACATACTGCAAAAGTAGCACTCATTTGACACATAAAGGGCAGTTAACAGATCTATTTATTCAGACCGTAGGCTTTTAGGAATACAAACTAATTTCCTTTCAGTAGAGTTGGCTTTGTTTACCCATTTGAAGACATTCTCTATCCAAATTGATAGATTTTGTATAGGGCAGACATATCAGGCTCAAAGCAAGTCTCTTTCACTGTCTTTCATTTTAATCCAATAAACCCTGAGCCAAAATGAGGCCGGTAGAGGATATAGAGTGGGTGCTGGTAGTGTATTGATGAATTTCAAGGGACATTTTATGAAATCCATAATACAGATTTGTACTTAACTTGTTGAAGTCATAGAAGCCCTGAACCCCCTTGTTTCCACTCCGTTAAAGAATACCTTTTTTAAATCCTTTACCAATTCAGTTCAACTGATCACTATATCCTTTCCCTAGGAAGTACCTTCACTGGACATCTGCTCCACATTTACATAACGAGTTGCAACATAATAGCCTAACTCCCGTTTCATGTTCGCCCCAACTAAGCCCCTCAGAACCCACTGTGGGGAAGGCAAACCTCCCCCCATACTTCATCTTGGACAGTCTGGCAGCGAGGGCAAATTCCTTCCCAGCCCCTGGATAAAGGAGTGACTAGTGCAGTGCCCACAGCAGATTTTGACAAAACCCGGTATGTCACCACTTCTAGTTGCTGCTCTGCCCAGTCCAGGTAAAAGAGGGTTTTTTCTGCACTGGAATGGACCGATATAGTCCCTCCACTCTCTTCTGGTCATGTGGGGTGGGGTGGGGGGGGGAAATGGGTCAGTGTCCCCATGCTGACCTGATCTGCAGCCACAGCAGAAAGTCACTTTCTGGGGTTCTAGCCCTTAAAGGGGCACACACCTTTTCCAACAAGCCAAACAACGGCCACCACCGCTTAATATGCTGTGAGGTCACTCTTCAAAAGAAAGTTAAGGAAGATTGCTTTTCCATTAATCCAGTCAGTTGGGCTAAGAGTCTGCCAAAAGATTAAGCTGACTCTTGCCGTTGTTTTAAGGAAGTATAGCTTGTCTATGTTGTGTGCATTAACCCACTAGGTAGGGTCTAAATTCTAGTGTGCACCAGTAGGTCGTGCACTAACTGGCTGTGTGGACCCTGCTGGCTCGTACTAAATGCTTGCACTAGGGAACTTAGTGTGTGCCAGCAGAGTCCACATGGCTGGTTAGTGTGAAACATGCTGATGCACATGAGAATTTACACCCAAGCCTGGTGCACACTAACCCACTGTGTGGACAAGCTCTTTGAATTATTTCTTTGTAGCTTGCCACTTTAGAGTTCCGCCTTAAGTTTCTCTATCATACAACCTATGTTATACTCCATTTATTTAGCTTATTTCCCATTTACACATTAATATAGTTCCTGTATCTTTAACTGATTAGATAACAGACTTGGAAGGTTTTAATGTCTACTTGGGGAAACAGTAATAAACAAAACCCACATATGCACACTTAATGGAAGGTTGGAGAACTCGGGTGTCTCTGAATTCTATTCTGTGGCCTACTGCAGTGCCTGTTTGCCTAAAATCAAACCGTCCTTTTCATTCCTTATTAGTAGTAAACTTCATTTAGCATTTGACCAAATAGTTATCCAGACCCAAACTCAAACCTGGCCCACGTTCCCTATAAGATGCAGCCAGCCTTCACCAATGATGGTTTAGGTCAGGAACATTTCAGGAAATGTGCTGCAGCAGAATCCTCCTTTGCTTCTTTGGAGACTACAGAAATGGTTATCTTTTGCATTGTAAAGAGAAGGGTTTTTTTCTTTGTGTTGATCTGTTTTAAAAGACAGTCTTTGTTTATTAATTGAGTCATTTCAAGTTTCAGCACCTCATAAGCTTGATTTATTTGTCGCTTTGAATTAAATATTCTTTCAGGCTTAAGAGCTTCTCATTTTGTCTCTTTGTTTGAGGTTAGGATTCTTTATTTAATCCTTTCTTTCAATATGTTAAGGATTGTGATTCCAAAATTCTGACCCTTTTAAGCAATTTTAGTCTTGTTCAAAATACGTGCAACTATAGTTACAAGATTGTAAATGTAGTGTCCCTTCATTCCAGTTGGTAATGGCTTGATATGGTTTCCAGTGTACCCATCTCAATAATGTGATTATCTTTTATTAGTTAGTTTTAAATGTTTAAGAAATATTATAATAGTAAAACATCATATTGGAGATTGCCATAGTTAAGGCTTGGAAGTTTCTGTACAAAATCCTGATATTCATCCATATATTAATTTGTCAAAAATATTCCTTTCAAATTAAGCCCTTTCTATGCCTGATTTCAGCCTGAGGATTTTTGTTGAAATTGAGAGAGCGTGGGGAGGACTTGTGGAAGTTCTTTAAAATACTACTTTGGAGTCCAAAAGCAAACAGCTGCTTGTCTCGTCCATCACTATTAAATACTTTTTTTTAAAGTAATGTCTTAATGAAAAATTTCATAGACAGTTTATGGTACTAGAGAGATATACAGGAAGCTACTATTTTTGTTTACAGATTTATGTTAAAATTATTTTACAGTAGATGAGTACATTAAAAATTAGACTAAAGCAATTAAAGAAAGATTATTAAAATGTATTTGTTTTCATTCAGTTTTTCATGTACTTATTTTTTTTGTTTGTTGCTAGGGTGAACAACTGCGTTGGATTCTCCAATTACAAATTTTTCCTTCTTTTCTTGGCTTATTCTCTACTGTACTGCATTTTCATTGCTGCAACAGATTTACAGTATTTTATCAAATTCTGGACAGTAAGTACTTTAACCCATATTCTTATTTGAAAAGTGTGGTTCTGTAAATGTAAAAGCTCTCAGATCTGTATGTTCAGAGCTATATATTTAGCAAGTGTATACATATATCTCTTTTTGAGTTGTAAAATATCAATATTTATAGTCACATTAACTCATTTGTTTAGTTTTTAATTTGTAGTCTGTGTTCATATAAAGCATGAACTTTCCTTCCACAGGCTACAGTCTTCCTCTAAAAACTGAAAGTTTTCCTGAGTGGTGGTGATATGCCAAACGTTGTGATGTGGAAGAAAGTGAAATGAATAGATTTTAGTTTCTGTGTGTCCTTTACACTTCTAAGATGGTGACAATAAAATTGTTCAATGTATGAAAAGCAGAAAAGAGAGACTATGGAAAAGAGGCTATAAGAAATATATAACTCTGTAACGTTTGGTCACTAAGTTACAAATTTAAGCTGGCCTCAGCAGTTGACCCTGATTTTGTGTTCATATATGTGCTGTATCATAAGCACAAACAAAGGGCATGTCAACACAGCAACTAAACACCTGTGGCTGGCCAGGGCCAGCCAACTCGGGCTTGCAGGACTCCAGCTGCGGGGCTGTTTCATTGCAGTGTAGACTTCTGGACTTGGGCTGGAACCCAACCTCTGGGACCTTCCCACCTCGCAGGGTCCTGGAGCCTGGGCTCCAGCCCGAGCCAAGATGTCTACACAGCAATGAAACAGGCCCACAGCATGAGCCCTGCGAGTCTGAGTAGATGGGCATTGGCCAGCCACGGTTGTCTAGTTCCTGTGTAAACATACCCTAAGAGTCCTCAGCTGCAAAACTGAATATGCTTTTGGATGTCAGGTAGTTTGACTTGCTTCCGAACAGGTTGGTGGGTATATGTTGTTCAGTGGTAACAGAACACCTCTAGTATATTTCAAGTATAAGACCTGTCATCCCATCAGCTGTGTGCACATAACTTTCATTTAAGTTCATGGGACATACAAATCAACATGTTTTAATGGTTACCAATCAATGAGAATCAACCCCACATTAGGAAGGTAACTAAAGTAATGCAAAGCAAGATTAAACTCAAGGTTTCTGGCTTGTTGATTTTAATCGTAATTAAAATTGGTGAAATAAATCACTTTGATTTAAATCAGTCCACTAGGCATGCATATGAAAATGTCCTGCTTACTGTCATCTGAATGTACAGCAAAGAATATGTTCTTAGATTTGTAACAGTGCTGTTTTCTTTGTGAACTATAGATCAGTCATTCTGACAGGGTTAGTTTCACAAGTTGGTTATTTTAAATATAAAAGGCTCTACTCTAAAAGCCACTTCAGTGTGTAATTGAGATTCAGATGAGTTTAAAGGACTTCTGTTAATATTTACAGTAACTCCTCACTTAACGTCCTCCCGGTAACGTTGTTACGTTGCTCTATTAGAGAACATGCTCGTTTAAAGTTGCACAGTGTTCCCTTATAAATGTTGTTTGGCTGCCTGCTTTGTCCTCTCCTTGCAGGATTCTCTGAAAGAGCAGCCCGTCCTTGTGGGGGCTTGGAACTAGGGTGGGCCGACAGCCCCCCTATCACCTCTCCTCCACCCCAGGGCAGCACCTTCCACCCACCAGCAGCTGATCAGCGCCTCCCTCCTCATGCCTCCTGCCCACTGCAATCCACTGTTTTGCGGCATTCAGGAGGCTGAGGGGGACAGGAGGAACGAGGATGCGGCGTGCTGGGGGGAGGGACTGGAGCGGGGGCAGGAAGAGGCAGGGCAGGAGTGGGGCCTTGGGGAGAAAGGGTGGAGTGGGGGCGGGCCTGGGGCAGAGCCGGGGGTTGAGCACCGTCCTGCAAAGTCGGCGTCTGCGCTTGTACCTGAGTCACAATGGAGAAAGCTGCCGCTGCTCAAGGTGCTTCCTAGCCTAACATGGCACCTTCAGCCTCCTTGCCCATCTCATTGTCTGCAGTAGGCTGCGTCTGTGTGGGGTAAGGCAGGGCACCTCCCAACTACTATATGTTTGTAATCACATTCCACATGCACGCTACCCCCCAGTGATTCACCATCGCTTTATGGCCCAGCCGCTGCTCTCCTCCCTGCTCGGGAATAGAGCACTACACCAAGCGCTTGTGGAGGCTTCGCCCGAGGCCACCAGCTGCCTCCAGAGCAGCTGCGGGGGTGCACAGTGGGAGCCCCACCTTGATATCTTGTGCCTGAATACACAATGTCCATTTGCTCACCGCCCCTTCGCGGGAGTGGGGTAAGAACCCAGGGAGCAACAGCCTACCCAAAGCAAGCTCATAGCATTCTAGCATCTGCTTCGCTCTAGCAAGTGTGGAGAAGTGGTGTAGGGATGCACAGAACCTGGCCCTGATCTCATGAAAGTCTGCGAAATCCACGGGAGCTTTGCCATACGCTTCAGTGCCAGCTGCATCTCTCTGCCCCCGCTGCACACAGCAGGGAGGGGCGCAGCCCTGCAGCAAATGTTAATTTCCTCCTCTTACAACAGTGACAACTACATTGGCTGCAGTGCTGCCCCAGTGTTGACTGCATGGTTACTATGGGAGGTACACAGGGCCGGTTTGTCCAGGGCACCCTGGAAGACGGGTCTTTGCTCCTCCAGCAGGGCTCCTGTGAAAGTAAGAACCTGCAGGTGTAACTGATTCCATAACTAGTTCTAGCCTAAACCCACAGGGCTTCCAGTAAGGGAGCATGGAGAATGACATGGGTTTTCCAAATTCTTTCTCTTTCAGTAGTTGGTTGATGCTGCATGACCCCAATCACTCCAGGCTGAAGGGAGTGAAGAGTAGCACGTGCATGTGCTGTCCAGAGGAGTATCATGCAGCATCATGAGTCAAAAACATCCAGCAAAGTTATAGTGGAGTGCCTAGCAGTAGGAAAACCATTAGTTAGGGTACTAAATTAGACATTTTAAGGTCTTTTGATGCAGGTGAGCGTGCGGTAGGCATTGGCATTGCTCTAGGTCTTACTCCGACCACTGAGAACAATTCGGAGTAATGCCGACAAGATCAGGGATAGTGCTCGGTGTGTAATACCACGTAGTGCTACTACAATAAGTCGATCAAGAAATTGTTTGCCAGAAAACATGGAGCGTCTTCTCTCAGTGTGGATAGAGGACCAAAACCAATGGAACATACCTCTAAATTTGTTACTGATACAAGCTAAGGCAAAAAGTTTGTATGACAATTTGAAGAGAGACCAAGGTAAAGGATCACAGACAGAGACATTCACGGCAAGTCGGGGATGGTGTGATCGGTTCAAGAGGCGCTTCCACCTGCATAACATCAAGATGTCTGGTGAGGTGGCTAGTGCCGATACTGCAGCAGCTAAAAAATTCCCAGAATATCTCAAGAAAATAATTGAGGAAGGCGGCAATTCCCCTAAGCAAGTCTTCAGTGTCGATGAAACGGGCCTCTACTGAAAGAGGATGCCTGAGCGGACTTGCATTCCAAGAGGAGAAGACAGCGCCCGGATTTAAAGCAGCTAAAGGCCAGCTAACCTTGCTTCTAGGTGGTAATGCTGCTGGACACATGAAGATGAAACCGCTGACAGTGTACCAATCTGAAAAACCGTGAGCTCTCAAGGGATTTTCAAAGGAAAACCTTCTGGTCATTTGGAGATCCAATAAGAAGGCATGGATAACTGGAGCTATTTTTTCAGAATGGCTGACTCTCCATGCTGTCCCTGCGTGGAAGGAATACTGTGCCAAGGAAAATCTTGATTTCAATATTTTATTGCTTATTGATAATGCACTGGCTCATCCAATCAACCTAGACGACCTGTGTGAAAACTTCCACATTGTCTTTCTGACACCTAATACCACATCACTCATCCAACCCATGGACCAAGGATCCATCGCTGCATTTAAGGCATTTTACTTTGCTGTACTTTCAACCAGCTCATCAGAGGCACCGATGGGGAAGGCAAACCTACGATTCGGCAATTTTGGCATGACTACAACATTCTCAAGTGCATCAATACCATCGGTGAGTCTTGGGCTGAAGTTACTCAGGCATGCATAAATGGTGTGTGGGGGGAAGTTGTGGCCTGAATGTGTCAGTGACTTAAAAGGATTTTAAAATGTTGTCCCCGCTATGAAGAAAGATATCCTCGGCTTGGCCAAGAAAATGGGTTTTGATGAGGTGGAAGAAGTCGATGTTACACAACTTCTGCAATCACACGAAGAAGAGCTAACCAATGAAGATCTGATGCAACTAGAGGTGATGAGAGCAAAGAAAGAAGAGGGCCAAGAAGTAAAAGAAGAACCAACCCATTGGAATTTGACTGCCAACGTCTTTTTGAAGCTTTCCAAGTGATTGAAGCTGGCTTGAAAATCCTCAGTGATGACGATCCTTACAGGGAATGCAGCTCCAAAGTGATTAGGGCAGTTGGTCACGTAATGACTTGCTATAAAGAAGTTTACCAAGGGGAAAAAAAAGAAAGCAAAACAACAATCTCTAGATGTGTTTTTTTGAGTTGGGAAAGTTCAGCAAGAGGAGCAGCCAGATGATCCATTCTCTTCCACCTTCTGACTCCACCACCTCAACCAAGCTTCACAGTCATCGTTGCTGTGTACAGTATTAAATTGTTTGTTTAAAATTGTTTAAAACTTATACTGTATATGTATATAATGCCTTTTGTCTGGCGAAAAAAACTTCCTTGGAACCTAACCACCCCCCCCATTTACATTAATTCTTATGGGGAAATTGGATTTGCTTATCATTTTGCTTAAAGTAGCATTCTTCAGGAACATAACTACAGCGTTAAGTGAGGAGTTGCTGTATATTCTCTCTTAAAAAGGCCAAATTCTGCTCTAATTCATGCCCCTTGAAAGAACATGGGGGGTGGAATGTGGCCCTTTCTCTCTAAAGGGACTATATTACTTTCCTGAGAGATGCGGTTGCACAGGGGTCTGTGAGTTAGTGCAGAGCTTGATCCAGAATCTTGGTTGAGTGGATATTATTAATATGGCTAAAGGAGTAGTTATTTTTCCTGCCTTAACATTTTGGTTTTCTTTCCTTCTTTATAGAATGGCCTTCCTGATACTCAAGCCAAGTTCCATATCATGTTTTTATTCTTTGCTGCAGCCATGTTTTCAGTCAGTTTATCCTCTCTCTTTGGTTATCATTGTTGGCTAGTCAGCAAGAATAAATCTACATTAGGTAAGTAATGTCATAGTGTACCTTGCCATCAATGAGTATTATTACCTTTGTGATTATTCCAGTTATATCAAGCTGTTGATATCACGTAATGAATCACACAGAAAAGGTGGATATTAAAGGACTCTTTGCTTTCTTAGTAATAAATGAGTGCAGAGATACTCAGGATGATGGTACCACAGTGTAAAGCCCTAACTATATTAAAAGTATAATCAGTTACAGCGTGGTTAAAACTGGTAGCCTGGATGAGGCCTAACTGTGTCTCCATTACCTGGTAACAGATTTGGCCACGTCCATGTCTGGCGACATCCATAACTGCATCAGGGTCCCTGACTCCATAATAGTTGTAGGATACATGGGTCCTAAAAGATGTGTCTATGCTACATCTACACTACGAGCTAGGAGTGTGGTTCCTCTGCTTGTGTACATATACTTGCACTAGCTCTCATCATTGCTTGTAGTGTAGGCATAGCCTATGTGTTTCTCACCTTCACTCTCTGTTGTTAGTTCGTTATTTCAGTCAGTGATATGATAGCAACAAGTTTCTAGATCTCTAAACACTCTTTCTCTTGATGCACGCTCAGTTTGAGGCAGGGGAGTGGAAGAATTAGATCTGGGGGGTTTTCTCCTGCTAATGCAGATATTAACAGTTGTAGGGGAGTCTGTGCATGCTTCAAGCCCATTCCTTCGAGTGTTTCTCTTTCACAGTATCCCAGGAAATCTAACGTCCGTTTAGAAATTAATAACAAGTGCAGGAAAGTGACTCAAATTCAAATTGGTAATAATGAGAGAAGAAATATGAGTCAGATTATTTAAAAGCCATTAATAAAATAAGTAGAATACTTATTTTTAATACCATAAACTGCACCCATGAAGATTTGTGAGTTCATAAACAATCATATGCTATTTTAGTGCAAGGGAACTGGCATATAAAGCTACAAAAATTTAAATCTCTGGAGTGTCCCAGGTGGGTCTTGTGTACTGGCAGTAAACTTTACACAAGGAAATGATTGGCTTATTCCATAAGGCCAATAAGGGAAAGACCAAGCTATAGGAGTTACATGGTGGAAGGAGAACTCCTGTGAATGTGCTCTCTGGATCGGACACACTGGAGCTCCTTGTGCTAGACTTAACTGTCTCTTCTCTTCCTATTGTCGGTGCAGTAATTTCCCTACAGAACCCTAAAAGGGTAGAATGAAGATCTCAGGCCCTTATAAAAAGTCTGAGGAGTAAAAGGGGACTTCTCACATCCGTCCTGGTGTGTGAGGGAAACCCGAATGTCAAAGTGGGTGGCTCCTTTCCTTTTTCTCCCTTTGTAGTTGTTTGATTTGAGAATGGGTTGAAAAGTTTCCTCAGTGAGGCCTCTCTTTTACCTTGCTGGACTCTGCTATGGGGCAGTTACATGCGGAAACCTCTTTACACCACACAACTCCCTGGCTCACTGAATCTGTCAGACAAGGGAAAACTCCTGCCTCCTCCCCAGCAGTAGGGCGGCTTCTCTAGATGTCAAGTATCAGAAGGGTAGCCGTGTTAGTCTGGATCTGTAAAAGCGGCCAAGAGTCCTCTGGCACCTTATAGACTAACAGACGTATTGGAGCATAAGCTTTCGTGGGTGAATACGAAATGCATGTGATGAAGTGGGTTTTCACCCATGAAAGCTTATGCTCCAGTACGTCTGTTAGTCTATAAGGTGCCACAGGATTCTTGGCTGCTTCTCTAGATATGGCAATTGGGAACTAATACCAGTGTCTTCATCTTTCAAAAGGAAGTAGTTTTTGGAGGCTGCACAATACCTGAACTGGCATTATGCAACCCCCACCAAAAGGAAATATTGCATAGCTGAAAGCCAATAAGCCTGTTGTTACCAGCATAATTATCTAAATAATCAGTGGGTGTTAATTAAAAATGTATTTAGGCAGGAAATATGACAAACCTATTTCATTTTCTAGAGGCATTCAGAGCACCTATATTTCGTCATGGAACAGACAAGAATGGTTTTAGCTTAGGCTTCAGCAAAAATCTAAGACAGGTGTTTGGTGATGAGAAGAAATACTGGCTGCTCCCTGTATTTACAAGGTATGCTTGGAAGAAAAATACGGTCTTTTAATACATGAGATACGGATATCAGAAAGTAGTCAGCAACACTTTTTTTTTTTTTTTACACCAAATCATGTGAAATAAAGCAGGTGCTTTGAAATTAGGAATTGTAAAATAAATATTTGAAGTATTGTTTTATTTTGCTTGTATAAGTGCTACACTGATTCTAAACTTCTTTTTCTCTGTAGTCTAGGAGATGGTTGCTCCTTCCCAACTTGTCTTGTTAACCAAGATCCTGAACAAGTTTCCACACCTGTTGGACTTAATTCAACAACCAAAAAGTATGTCTGTTTATGTCTGCCTTAAGTTTGTCATTTACCTGTCATACTGTGAATTTCTCCACTTTTCATTTGCTTATTATTTTTAGGCAGCTGTCACTAATGCAGTCATATATATGTGCATTTTAAAAGTATCCTACTAAGAAACAGAATTTAAGGCATCTATGTAAAGTTCTTTTAATTCAGCTGATTTCTCAGTTTCATACCTTCATCATTTTAAACCTGGCAAAGCAATCTCCCTAACATGCCATATGAATAATACTGCTGAATGTGGGAGCAATACATTCTATTTTCTTTTTATCAGCTGTGTTGCTTGTCTCAGTTTAGCTGTTTCCCAACCCCTGAATTTTGACAGTCTATCTAGCCACAACAAATCGTACTTTGCATAGCTACTAAAACAGGTAATTGGTGAGCCTGTTTGAGATATTCCCAAATTAAGTTCCAAGTTTTTCAGAATAGGAGCTGTTTCTTTTTGTATTATGTGCTGCATCTTGCAAAGGGGACCCCAATCTTCAGTGGTGCTTTTGGGGCAATGTGCAATACAAACGATAACATTCCAAAAAATATCAGTGTGTTTGACTTCTGTATTACCCTTAGCCTTTACCAGTGTGGGATTCCACAATGGTCAGTCTCCGTGTCAGATTCATTCATATTTAGATGCCGCTATCAATCCTAGTGATAGTACGTTTCACAGCTGCAGTCGTTTCAAAACCGGTATAAATGGAGGTATATGCCTCTTAACCTAGGTAGGTATGGCTACATAATAGTAGCTCATGTCTAACATTGTGTGGCACAATTTTTAGCAATTTCTTGTGGAACTGAAAGTGTGCCTGATACTTTTTGTTAATGTTGGCAGAGATCAGTAGAAGGTGATCAAGCTACAGTCAGTCAGTAATTCTAACATAAATGATCCATCCAAATCAAATTGTATTTCTTTACCAATACACCATTATCGTCTTACAACCTGACCTACTATTTTGTTACACGACATGAAATGTTGTCTAGCTCTTCAACTTTGGAAAAATGGAAAAACTTTCCTAAATATGTAGCAATAATATATATAATCACTATTAATGTTGTTTTACTAATTGCTGTAGCACTCCTGGCCATGGCTATTAGACACTTTAATTACAAGATTCAATCACAAAGCAATAACAGAAGAGATTATAAAGATTAGAAATTTGTTTAGAAACCAAGTATATCTGAATTTGGCTCATCATCTTTATTAATTACTTTGCCTAAAAATGGGAGGCTTGAGAGAGCTTGATATTTGGTGAGACTGTTAATGTTCAAACATGAGTTCTTGAGCAGGGGCTTGCCCACAGCTTGTTTAAGTGTGTCTGGCAGCTTGGCTTTCCAAACGCTAATTTTAGTCAGTATAAGTCCTGTCTGTTCACTGACTTCAGTAAGGATACAGAATCATTGAAATGTAGGGCTGGAAGAGACTTTGAGAGGTCATCTAGTCCATCCTCCCCACACTGAGACAGGACCAAGTATATCTAGAGAGTCCCTGATAGGTGTTGTCTAACTTGGTCACAGAAACCTCCAGTGATGGGGATTCCACAGCCTCCTTTGGAAGCCTGTGCCAGTATTTAATTACCCTTATAATTAGAAAGTTTTTCGTAATATATACTCTCTCCCCAGAATATTAGCCTTTTTTGAACTTCATCACATTGTTGGCTTATACTCAATTTGTGATCAGCTATTACTGTCAGATCCTTTTCAGTGGTACTATTCCCCCTCTTCTAGTTGTGCATTTGATTTTTCTTCCTAAGTTTAGTACTTTGCACTTGTCTTTATTGAATTTCATCTTATTTCAGACTAATTCTCCAATTTGTCACAGTAATCTGGTCATCTAAAGTGCTTGTAAGCCCTCCGAGCACGATGTCATCCGCAGATTTTATAAACATACTCTCCACTCTGTTATCCAAGTCATTAATGAAAATATCGAATAGTACCAGACCTAAGGCAGACCCCATTAGATACATCCTTCCAGTTTGACAGTGAACCATTGATAGGTACTCTTTGACTATGTTTTTTCAACCAGTTGTGCAGCCCCCTTAGAGTAACTTCATCTTATCATATTTCCCTCGTTTGCTTATGAAAATGTCAGGTGCGACTGTGTCAAAGGCCTTACTATAATCAAGATAGATCATAACTACTACTTTCCCCCCATCCACTAGGCCAATAACCCTGTCAAAGAAGACGGTTGGGTTGGTTTGGTATGATTTGTTCATGACAAATCCATGTTGGCTATTACTTATAACCTGATTATCCTCTGCAAATTGAGTGTTTAATAATACGTTCCAGTATCTTTCCAGAAATTGAAATTATGCTGACTGGTATATAATTTGCCAAGACCCTCTTTTTAAAGATAGATACTATGTTTGGCCTTCTCTAGTCCTCTGGGACCTCACTTTTCCTCCATGAGTTCTCTAAGATAATCGCTAGTGGTTCTGAGATTGCTTTAGCTAGTTCCTTAAGTAACATAAGTGAATTTTGTCAGGCCTTGCCAATTTGAATACATTTAAGCTATCTAAATATCCTTGTTCTTTCCCTGTTCTGGCTTGTGTTCCTTCCCTCTTGTTCTTAATACTAATTATATTTAAGCAGCTGGTCACAATTAACCTTGTCAGTGAAGACTAAAGCAAAATAGGCATTAAACACATCCGTAATCTTGGTGTTGCCTGTTGTTAGCTCTCCTTCCCCGTCAAGTAGTTGATCTACATTTTCCTTTGTCTCTCTCTTGCTCCTAACGTATGTATAAAACCTCTTTGTGTTGGCTTTTATGTCCCTTGCGAGGTGTACCTCATTTTGTGCCTTCTCTTACATGCTTGTGCTGTCCTTTTGTACTCCTCTTTAACAATTTGTCTATGCTTCCACTTTTTCTAGGATTCTTTTTTGATTTTTCAGGTCATTAAAGAGCTCCTAGTAGAGCCGTATTGGTTTCTTGCTATTGTTCCTTCTCTCCTTTCCACTGAGAGAGTTTACTGCTGTGTCTTTAATATTGCCTGAACTCATGTTTCCATTAGATTTTCTTCCCCTGGAACCTTACATACTACCAGTTCTCTGAGTTTGCTAAAGTCTGCTTGATTGAAATCCATGTCCTTATTTTGCTGCTCTCACTCTTTCCTTCCCTTAGATTCATGAAATTTATCATTTCACAATCAAGTTGCCTTTCACCTTCAGATTCACAGCCAATTCCTCTCTTTGTCCAAATCAAATCTAAAACTGATGCTACCCGGTCACCTTCTGAAACAGGAAGTTGTCCCCAGTGCATTCTAAAAACTTATTTGGACATTTTCTGTTCTGCTGTATTACTTTTTCAACAGATGACTGGGTAGTTAAAGTCCCCCATTTTTACCAGGTGTTGTGTTTTGGGTTGTTCTAGAAATGCCTCATCCGTCACCGTCTCCTAACGTGGTGGTCTTTCGTAGACCCCCACCACGATATTGCCCTGGTTTTTCCCCCTTTTATCTTCACCAAGTGCTGCTCGAGCTAGCACGTCAAAACAGCAGTGTGGCCACAGCAGGTTGGGTGGCAGCTCTGGCTAGCTCCCCAACTGTGGTCCCGCCTTAGCCCCTGGATCCGTATTTGGCACTAGCCCAAGTTGGTGCCTGTGCCGTCATGGTCCCACTGCTACTTTTGGGACTAGTTCAAGCAGAGCTAGCTTGCGTACACATACCCAAGTTGGGAATTATACCTCCCAGTGAGTGTGTAGACATACTCTGTGAGGTCGGGGGATTGAGGACATAGAAATGCTAGGAGCACGTGTGCTGTTAGATTGGGGCTGCTGGTATATGGAGCATCGGTTACGTTTAGCTGAAGATGACGTGTGGCATTTTTTTCAGCTATAAATGAAATGTGATCGTTCTTTTGAACTCACTATCTTTAGGTGGGTTTGGAGTTAGTAAAAACATGTTAACCAGTCCCTAACAAATACCAAAGAGCAAAGTTAAAATGTAAGTTAAATGTTTCTCTGTTCTGTTTTAAACCATTACATTTTAGACTGCACCCTGTCTCTGTGACAGAACTAAAATTTAGTGTGTATTAGAGTGAAGGTTTTTATTAGAATCAAAGATTCAGCAAAAAATGACCAAGGTAAGATTTTCTAAGACCTTTACATGAGCAGTTGTTTAAAGTGTGTAATGGTATTTGTATTAACTAAAAGTTAATCTTTACTTTTTTTATTTTCTTTTAATTACATATTAGCGAGAATCACATTTTTCCTCCAAAGACATTACGAGATTCCCAGAGCCACCTTCTTACTGATACTCAGTCTTGGACGGAAAGTAGTGCAAATACTGAAAAGGGCAAAGTTGGTAAGAGATTAATTTGTTACACCCATTGAATTTTAATGTAAATTCTTGTTGGAAAGATGTAATCTGAAAATTGCCAAAGACTTCTCTTTGTGAGACAAAATTAATTTGATGTAGCTATAAGGTGGGAAACAATTCCTGTTGTAACAAAGTGTAATATTTAGGGTGCATGTTTGTAAAATGTCCCTTGCACGTTTTAAGCCCTCTTATACTTCTAACTATGAATGAGCCTGATGATGAAAGATATTGAATACCTGCAGCTCTCACAAAGGATAATACTAATTGCAGATGTTCACTGGCTCGCAAGATAAATCCCAATATTTTTTAGTCAGAGAGGTAATCATTATATCTAATCGTTTGTTCCAAACTGTGATGGCACCTTCATGACTATTGCAACTAGTGGATGTTGTATAATTATACATGTTTAAGTATTTACACAAAATAGACCATGAAACAAAACTAGGAGAAGATTGGCAACCAAATATAAAGCTGTTTTGATTAATATCTTTTAAAAATAATATACAATACTTTATTTACAACATTATTTTTTTCCAGTCCCCAAAGGTATGAGCAATCCTGGACTAACTGTGGAAAATGAAACCTAGTCACTGTTAATGGAAGCATCTAAATGCTCAAGGAAAGGTAGGCTAGTATTTTCTATGTTTTATTTACCACTCTGCTATTAAACGCCTTCTGAGGTGCTTCTGCCCAATAGAAAAGTTATTAAAAATATGCTTGGTAGTTTTGCTTCTATTCTCACTTTGTCAGCATTTTTGCTTTTTCCAATTTAATTTTGTTCCTACCTCAGACATTGAAACAATTTCTCCTGTTTATCCTAAAACACACATTTCTTGATTGAACAATACTTTTTCTAAATAATTAACTTAATCTTTACAGCACTCTTTAGATGTAGACATGTAAGTATTATTGCCATTATCTAGTAGGAAGACAGAGACATGGACGTTGTGACTTAGCCAAGGCCTTAGAGCAACTCAGTGCCAAAGCTAGGATTCAGATTAAAGAATTTGTGACTCTCATCCCTGAACTCAATACACTAGATCAGTGCTACTGAGTGATAGTATTTTGAATCAAGAGAAGTAGGCAAAGACCTATAAGGTAATTTAAGTGGTACAACTTGGAATAAATTAACTTGTAGTTTTGTTCTTTCATGCCAAAAAGAAACAGAGCCAATTCCCATTAATCATTAGAAATAATGGAGACTGCAGACGTCTATATCGTATTGATAATAATGATGATAAATAGATATGATGTCTATTTTATGGAACTGCCAAATTGATGATTCCTGGGAACAAGTCGATGAAATCTTAATCTGCAAAGAAATATAAGCAAAGGGATTTGATGACGATCTGGGAATTGGTAGTGATATATCAGACTCTTCGTTGGGTTGGTCGTAAATGAAAGCTTTTACCTTCTGAAGGCTGCTCAGTGACTTCTGTTTATTAAGTTATTTATTTTTATTTATTTAGATTTAAAATTATAAAAAGATGCCTGTGAAGGGTTCGATCACAGAGACCCCCTTGGCGGTCTACCTCTGAGCCAGTTTTCTTTGATGGCTTGGGACTCCAGAACCCTGACTTGTTGAGCCAGATATGCTAGCCTGGTGCAACACACACCCAGGGTCTGAATCACGCCCCCAAAGCTGCAGACTTAACTGAAAACAGCTCTGCAAGTACTCCTCTCTCCAGCACCCAGCTCCCAATGGGATTCAAAGCCCCAAATAAATCTGTTTTACTCCATATAAAGCTTATACAGGGTAAACTCATAAATTGTCTGTCCTCTATAACACTGATAGAAAGAGATGCACAGCTGTTTGCTCCCCCAGATATTAATCACTTACCCTGGGTTAATTAATAAACAAAAGTGATTTTATTAAGTATAAAAAGTAGGATTTAAGTGGTTTCAAGTAATAACCGAGAGAACAAAGTAAGTCACCAAGCAAAATAAAGCAAAAACATGCAAGTCTAAGCTTAATACATTAAGAAACTGATACAGGTAATATCTCACCCTCAGATGTGTTAATAAGCTTCTTTCACAGACTAGACTTCTTCCTAGTCTGAGCCTAATCCCTTTCCCTGGTACACTACTTGTGAGTTTCTGCTCAGGTAGTAACTCGGGGATTTCTCATGACTGGCAGCCCCCTTTTATCGCTTTGGCACAAGGCGGGAATCTTTTGTGTCTCTGGGTCCCCACCCCTCCTTCTAAATGGAAAAGCACTAGGTTTAAGATGGATTCTAGTTCAGGTGACATGATCAGATGTCACTGGAAGACCTCCTTCTTCATTACCTAGTAGCTGAAAGACACTACATAGGAAGGCTTGCAGGTAAACAAACCCATTCACAGTTCATTGAATCTGAAGCACCCTTAATGGCTTCCACTTAACATGTTTACATGAGTAACACAAGTTTGTATCCAGTCTTTATATGTTCCACTATATGTTGTTTTTTTCCTGTAAAATATATAACAAATGTCATTAAATTGCTAAATGTGCCTTTGTTTCTAAAATGTTGTTGGGGTTTTATGCTTTCTGTTCCAGTTCAAGGTAAAGCTGCTGATGAAAGGAAGATACAATCTTCCAAAAATCAGCCCCCATCAGCCAGCTGTTCCTGTCTGCTCCTGTGTGGATATGCTCAGAAGAAATTGACAGCTGATTAGCTGTTGCCATGTCATTGCTTGAAACATAAGACATACTGATATTTTTGAACTGTATAAAGAATGTTTCAACATACACAAATTACTGTTAAAATGCTAAAGGACATTTCTGAGTATTATGAAAGGAGAAAGGGAGAATCCTTTCGTTAGGATTAGCGGGACAAAATTTACAATTGTGCAATTCTAGGGCTAGTTTTTACTTTGGTATTCTGATAGCACAAGAAAACAAACTCCTTATATATAGCCCGTCTATGCTTTTACATCAGTTTTGAATCTTGATATTACTTATGAATTTCAATGGCCGTAAGTAGGTTATCTAAAAAAAAAGAATTATACATTTTGTACTGCTGGCTTTATCCTTGGAAAAGCATTATTAGCATTGATTTTTGGTAATTGGGTGGCTTACTGATTGGTCAGGTACCATATTTTGATTTCAGATTGACTGAGTCAGCTAATTTATGATTTAAAATCAACCTACATGAATTAGGTTGGATCATCTTAGACTTGATTGCAGATAATATCCCCTCTTCCCCTATACAGATATGACTGCTGAACTGTAAACACTTGATAGCTGAAATAACCTCTCACCTAACTGGATTGTGTGCTTACAGTTCAGGTTAATCTTCATTCTTAGCAGAATAGTAAGAAGAGGCCCATATTTAGGATTGACTGTGTGTGTAAATGGAGGTGTTTAGATCAGGGCTTTCAGTTACAGCTGCACAGGATGATTTCTATGAAATTGGGATTAGTGTGATACAGCTTCTTGGTTTGGGCCAGTATCTCTTTAGAAAAACAAAATGTATGGACTTAATGTTACTTAGAAACATTTGGACCAAAAAATGCTTAATCTAAATTGTGGACTTTGAGAAGTACATGGCCCAAGAACATTAATATGCTTCTCATAGCTTGGTAGTCATTAGACTAATTATTGAACATAAGCTCATTCTTTTCTCAGTTGTATTTAAAATGTTGCAACTTAATGATGTACTTACAAAGAGACTTTCATGGTCATAACAATATGCAGTATTTGCTCTATTACAGGGACACTGGACATCTGATCACTCACATCAAAAACCCAAACTTATTTCCCATAGAAAACCTTTTACAGTGAAAGTAGGAAGGAGATGTTGGATTTCAAAGGATCAAAGTTTACCAGCCAGATTTAAAAAAAGAAGTGTATTGCTAGTTTCTGAAACCAAGGAAGTTTCAGCGACACAAACCTTACTCTGTCTTGTGCCTTTATATGCACTACACTTACGGTATTACAAAATGTTTACATAAAATGCAAAGTATGTTAATTGCAAAACCATTTTAAAAATAATTAACTTTCTAGTGGGCTAGCTAGAAAAATTAAAATAGGGATCTTTAAAATTGCACTTAAGACTATGGGATCAGGGCACAGTTGAGAAGTAGATAGGGAATTCAGCTCTCAAAACTCAGTTGATGATCAGATTGGGTCACAGGATTACATAAAACAGAAAGATAAAGTACAGGATATAAAACTGATCGATTATTCTTTCTGTATTTGTAATAGCAGGAAGGTAAATCTTTAAGAAACAAGAAATGTTCAGAACACAGAGGAACTGGAGTGAATTACTGTTAATAGGATTTTTTTTGTTTCCAGTAAATCATCATTATTATTATTATTATTATTACCTCTTTTACAACCATGTAATTCTAGATCATTGGTTCATAATTGTTCTCCTGAGATGGTTTTAACCATTATCACTTTTAGATGAGAATTTTGATCTGACATGGACCAATGTCTCTGTAGAAAAATGTTCAGTAGGTAGGGTTTTAATGTTTTTTTTTATTATTATGAATGAGCTTTTTCCTTAAATTTTACTCATCTGAAGACATCTCTTACGGATTCCATTACCAGAAGTGCCAGAATATGATCTATAGATGTGGAACATTTTTAAACTAGCCTTTGAGGGTAACACTGTTTACATGATACATGTAAACATTTTGCTGCCAGAATTTCCTCAGTGTTACTCTGTCAGGAGTTTACTTTGTATCAGTGTTTATTTAAAAGTTGGTAACTGTCAACATGATTATAGAGATGGGGTGGAGAAAGAACTAAATACTTTATTCTTCATGCTTTCATAATCTGTATATTTGTTTGTAAGTAATTATTCAGCTGCAGTATTGTCTGTCAATCACGAGTGTGCATTAAAAATATATACATATGACATGTCCAACTTCTTAAAAATTAGCTTTAATGTAACTTGCCTAATATTCTATGTAACAGTAAATACGATTTAATATACAGTATCTTTGCAGTAAAATTCATGCCAGAAGGGGATCCCTCTAAATCTGGATCTCCTTCCTCCTCTGAAGAGTGATCTGTGCAGGGGAAGGAAGAAGAATGTGGGCAGCTCTTCGGTGGGTTGGGAACAGGGAATGCCCTTCAGCCCTTCTCCAGAAAGAAGGGTTAAAAAGTAATACATCCTCAGAGGGGTTCCTAGAGCAGCAGTGACCAGCTGTAGTCTGGAGCAGCTCTCTCACTCCAGGGAGGAAGGGGTAGAGGTGGTTGTGTGTGATCACTAAGGCCTGTTTTGTGTACGGAGGCAAATCCCCACATGCAAATGATTTGAGAAAGGATCATTGTGGAGTTCCCACCACCACCTACTGCAGATTCTATGGTAGGACAAAGCTGTCTGGGCCCTCATTAAATTATTATTCCTGACTTGTGTTTGATGAGGACTCTGAAAGCTTTCTATATGAGGGAACATAGCTTCTTTTCAAAGCCTTGTGGTTCAGCCATTGTGGTATTACAATGCAAATATGAGATTTTGTTTTTGGGGGGGAGAGAACAATCCTAGAGCAAGACTGTAACTATAGGAATTGTCAGATTACATTGATTCTTTTGGTCAGCATAAATTTGTTGGGCACTTGACTGTACTCGAACATGTGTAAGACTCGTATTTTTTTTAAATGTAAGAACACAGTGTTTTATATTTATTGTACTAGCAACTTCTTGTTGCTGATTTTCTGTTAATTATGGTCCTGATCCTGGGATGCACAGACATACCCCACAGACACTAACTTCAGTGGGATTCTGGATGGGCCTGAGTCCCCCCCATTTCATCCAGGCTCTATAATAAGTCAGAATTAATTCCCCCCCAGGTGTGTAGATAATTTGTATGAATTTAAAATTACTGGACACTCACATCTATTTAACAATTCATTACAACAGACTAAAATAACTACACATCTGCTGGTGCATAGGTCCACATGGATTCTGAACCCCACTTACGTAACTGAAATATTTTGTAATCTAGAAATCTCTTTTTCCAGAGAGAGAGGGAATTTATATTTTTATAAAGAAAATTGCAAACTTAAATGTTGAGCTCCACCCATTTAATCACTTTGTAATTGTAGACCAGGTGCACCTAGGTTGTTTTTAACGCCTGTGGAGATCATAACTACAATGAAAGTGGTCTAATACTGTCAGTTTTTCAAGTAAAGAAACAAATACCAATGTTTGTGCATCACTTGAGTATTAGGTGTTAAACAATGAAAACTAGTCACGTCTACTATAAATACACCAGTAGATTTTTCACATCTGTCTTTTTGCAGTTTGTCCACACAAAAATCAAATGCTGAAGGCAAGAGTGAATGAAGAACATGGTATATTTCTATCAGGACCTGTTTTAGTGCATGGCCCTATTTAATGCAGCACAATATTTTGAATGATTGTTGTCTTGAACACCTTATGGAGTAAAAGACAGCACTGTCATGCTCTCCCTTCCTAATAGTCAATGGATAAAATAAATAAAAGGCTACAAAAAGATATTAATCTCTACCCACAGTGAGGGTATTAAACTAGTCCCACTAGTTTAGGAGGAAGCTTCTGTAGGACAACTAACAACTTGGGAACAAGCCATCCCATTGCATAAACTGTAAATGGTGTTAGGCAGCCAAATACAGAATTTTGTCAGATAGTAGGAGTGAAAGCTACTGCAGCTCCCACTGGAAAAGTAGTAGCTAAGGATCCAGGTTACAGGAATACTGTGTATGAAATAAATGATCAACTGCATCACAGAAGGGGAGACTGAATTGTTGAGAGGAAGAAACAATGAACCCACCTCTGCTCTGATACATAATGTTGCCATTGATTTTATATAGCTAGTCTACAGCTGTAACTGAGATCTGACTTTAGCCCACTCTCTCTCTCTCTTGTTCAGTTATGAGCCCAGTGTGGTGTTTTGCATGCAACACACCTAACTAGGTACCAAATGGATTGAGGATGACTGTTGCTGCTTTAGATTATCATCTCTAGGAAGCATTTATAATATACAGGGCAATTTCACAGGTGGGGTGGGGGGAAATATTTTGTTACAGACTGATGCTCTCCCCTTCCTTCAAGATTGTACTAAGAACAAGAAGCAAGTTTGAGAACACTAAGGTGCACATTAGGTATGCCTTTAGCTTACTAGGACAGCATTTTTCCCTCTGGACTTTTCCCACACTTTACCATGAGTAGCAAAACACTCTACAAGCTGAGCTGTCAGAAAAATCAGCTTCCAAGAGCTCTCTCTCAAAACAATTTGGATATTTTCTCTTAGTGACCATTGTTCCAGAACAACTGAGTATGCATTGCTGAGAAGTGATAGTGTATATACCTAGTGATGTTGCACAAATCCTGGAGGAGCTTGTTGCTTTTGTTTGTATTCTGTAAACAGTATTATGTATTTTTGTATCATGTTAACTTGCTGCTGGAAAAAAATTAAACTCATTTTGCTTATGCAAGAGATCAACCATTTGTTTTTAGAAGTAGTATGAAAACATCAGCATTCGAAGTGTTGAACCTGCCTGATCTTATAACTTATAAGCGGCTTACACTGTCATGAGAGCAGCTCAGTACAGGATCAGAGGTGAAGAGCGAGCCTGATCTCACTGAAAGGTGAAGTGCCATTTGAATCATCTCTGTGCTGACAACTATAGCAAGAGATCCACCCCTCTCATGAGCACCTTCAGCCAGTAGATTTGCCCAGACCAAGATTTGGGGAGGGGTGGGGGATGAAGGTGGCACAGGGAAAGAGAGTCTTCCTGAAGAGCTTTTCAGTTGAAACACACTGTAGGAGGCAGAAAGCTAAAGCCATATGTCAGCGCAGTAGCCCAATTAAGAATATAATAACTCATGTCTCCCCAGTCCTCTGCACTAGAGTACACTGCTGCCTTTTATCTTTTGACTCTTGTGCTCTCCTTATAAATTTTCAGCATTGCCCCCAGTGGAAACAAAGATTCCAGAGGCCTAGTGACGTTATTCAGTGACGTAATCCAATTCTATACCAGCGGAGAGTTAAGGGTTATTTCAAACAGAATGGAAAACAATGCATATAAAAGTGTCTTCTCTATAGTTCCCTATGAAAGTACATCAGAACTCAAACTTGCTCATGTGACAAATTACAAAAATAGGGGACATCTGTATTCTGTTGTCCATTGAACTATAATTGAAAGAGTATAAACAAACTATGAAAGTTGTTTTTAGAGATGTTTTTATCATTGTATGAATTAAGCCAGTTTAAAAGGAAAACTCAAAAAATCAGTTCTAATGTATAACCCTAAATAGCCAGTAGGTCATCAGTAGCGTTTGAACTGAATACACTCAGATCTCAAACACATACTCTAATTCTCCCCCTGGACCAGTCACTATTGTGGGATTGAACCCATGGCTGTGGGTTGCACAGCTGTTGAATTCTGCATGTTTAACTGATGTTTAAGATTTTGGGGTTCTATGCCTACATCTGGAAGAGGAGTGATGAGTGTCAGGATTCAAAGTTCAAAATGCTGAATGTACTGCAAAATTCAGGTCCCTTACAAGTCTATACCTGTTAGTACAATAGGCCATTTTTGTGCTGATAAACCAATAAGCAGACACATTTCAAGGGGGAAGCTTTTCCTCCCCTACATAGCACTTAAGCTAGACTCCCTTTCTTGGAGAACAACTCCCCCAACGCTGATGGTGCTTGTACAGTCTTCCTGCACCATTAAGACAAGCTAATAAAAATAAACATGCTTTTAAGATTATGGAGATAGTCCAAAGGCTTTTCTGGCTCTGAGCATGGGGAAGAGAAAGCTGACTTTCCCGTAAAAGAGAAGTACCTCCTTCCAACCAAATAGCAAGTCCAAAGAAATTGGCATTTCATAATGAAAGGCATGTCCAACATTCCCTTTTTGGCTAGAGGCTGCCTTTCACTTGCATGCTATGTATTGTACCACAGCATGTTGTCATCGTAGCTGCTTGGTTTTATGCTTAAGTGCTTGGTAACACATAGAACCTTAACCCAGGCTCTCCTTTGATAAGGGCAGCATGCCTGGAGAGTGGTAGCTGCCACTCTACTTAAGTAAAGCAGAGGCTGTGGTTAGCTCAGTGGAGTAAATATTTGGCTAGCAGGTTCCAGTTCAAATGCAGTTCAATTCAGGGGCTCCAGTGCTTTAGCATCACACACACTCTTCCCCCTCCACATCAAACATGATGGCTTTGTGCACGGTGGATGACTGTGTACACACTGTAATACTATCAAAGCTGCTAAAAGATGAAATTGTGTGATCATGAATTTGCCACTGACTATAAAGGCTTTACTTTTCTTAGTGTAAGAAAATTTTTTCAGAATAAGGCGGAGAGGTACGAAGGCAAACCAATTGACCAGATCACACTATCCACCCACAGAGGCTAGGAAATGTACTGTATCCCTCATGTATAACAAATTACATACAGTAGGTGAAATTGCATATGCATTGTTAGCCTGCTGCATTACTAAACCCTATTCTCCCAGTCCATGTTTCCTCCTACAAAGCTGACTTAGTAAACCCCTCACATATTTTACAGCACTGTGCCAATACAGCTCCAATATAACTACTGTGAGGTGGATTGAATTTCACTGTATCTTCCCCCCCAGTACCACTGGTTGGTTTGTTTGTTTTGGGGGGGGGGGGCAGTGTTTGGATCAAGTTATCATTAAGACTGCAGGGCACATATAATTAGGATTTAACCTAGAGCAACAGGGACAGCATCTGTCAGCAACATTGCTCCACAGCATGTTGCAGCTGGCTCTAGAGCTGGGAGAGTTCCTGTGCATAATTGCACACAGCAGCGGTAAGATCCCTGACCTTGTGCCCACACAACATTGCACTGTTAACACAAATGTGGCTGAATCTGACCGTTGACAGACTGTATAGGGCGCAGAACTGAAGAAGAGCACATCTCTGCTAACTGTTGTCATCAGTGACGATGCTGTAGAACAAAACAAACAAGCAGCAGCATACACCGGCGTGACAGATGCTTCCGCTGCTCTGCATTTGATCAAAAGGCATCTGTATTGGCACAATACACTTGCCTACAGCCTCCCTTTGCAACCCTTTATCAGTTCTCTCTTATTGTCCGCAATTATTTTCTTCATGCTGGAACTGTGAACAAGAAATCTTCCTTCAAATTCAGCACTCTCTAGAGTCTACCTCCTCTTAGGCTCCAATTCTGAAAAGCCCCTCCTTTATTCCGTCTAGCTAAATTCCTACAATGGCTCCCTTTCTTGGAGTATCTGATTACTTGATCATCTTGGAATCTGACAAATAAGTCCTAGTATTTTGGGCTGTAATCAACTGCCTTATTGTAAGCGGCCAATACTGAGAAAGCTGTACCTGGTCCCTTAAGGCCTGCGTCAGTTTCTTGCGGCTATTCGCTCTTTTTGCCAAACATTCTTGGCCTAGCTGCAGAATGCCACTAGCCACTGGTCCTGCCCCTCTTCACTTTGTGAAGAATTCTTCTGTTCTCAATATACACAGAAGGCCCTATTTATGAAAGCAGAATACCTTAACAGGAAGCCATATCAATCTGAAATATGGGAACATACAATCAATTCTCGCTATGGTTTAAGCAAGCTTAGGCATCAGTCCCCAAAGGACGGTAGCTGTGATGAAAGAGGACTGCACGCCACTTTACCCCGCACAAGAGATGCTTCTGTGTCAGGCAGAGGCACAGCAATGAAGGAGTATAGAGGAACTTTCATTGCCACTGACTGAGCTGGACCAGATCTGTAGATGAATAAAGGGCTCTAGCATTATCAGTCTAACACCGTTAGACTGATATCAAGTGGAGTGCCCCAAGGGTCGGTCCTGGGGCCGGTTTTGTTCAATATCTTCATAAATGATCTGGAGGATGGTGTGGATTGCACTCTCAGCAAATTTGCGGATGATACTAAACTGGGAGGAGTGGTAGATATGCTGGAGGGGAGGGATAGGATACAGAAGGACCTAGACAAATTGGAGGATTGGGCCAAAAGAAATCTGATGAGGTTCAATAAGGATAAGTGCAGGGTCCTGCACTTAAGATGGAAGAATCCAATGCACCGCTACAGACTAGGGGCCGAATGGCTAGGCAGCAGTTCTGCGGAAAAGGACCTAGGGGTGACAGTGGATATGAGTCAGCAGTGTGCCCTTGTTGCCAAGAAGGCCAATGGCATTTTGGGATGTATAAGTAGGGGCATAGCGAGCAGATCGAGGGACGTGATCGTTCCCCTCTATCCGACATTGGTGAGGCCTCATCTGGAGTACTGTGTCCAGTTTTGGGCCCCACACTACAAGAAGGATGTGGATAAATTGGAGAGAGTCCAGCGAAGGGCAACAAAAATGATTAGGGGTCTAGAACACATGAGTTATGAGGAGAGGCTGAGGGAGCTGGGATTGTTTAGCCTGCAGAAGAGAAGAATGAGGGGGGATTTGATAGCTGCTTTCAACTACCTGAAAGGGGGTTCCAAAGAGGATGGCTCTAGACTGTTCTCAATGGTAGCAGATGACAGAACGAGGAGTAATGGTCTCAAGTTGCAGTGGGGGAGGTTTAGATTGGATATTAGGAAAAACTTTTTCACTAAGAGGGTGGTGAAACACTGGAATGCGTTACCTAGGGAGGTGGTAGAATCTCCTTCCTTAGAGGTTTTTAAGGTCAGGCTTGACAAAGCCCTGGCTGGGATGATTTAACTGGGAATTGGTCCTGCTTCGAGCAGGGGGTTGGACTAGATGACCTCCTGAGGTCCCTTCCAACCCTGATATTCTATGATTCTATGACAAGCTCTGAAATCATACACTGTGTGCTTATACAAATTTTATTTTTAGACCAATCTTGCCAGGTAGGTAAATATTTTAGTTACAGTGAGTAACCACAAACAAGCAAGGAAACAAAAAAGTGTGCCTGCTTTCTTTATTCAGGACACCGAGAAAAGAGCTGGGGCCTGACCACTATGGCTCAATCAGCCACCTTTGAATGTTGAGCCACAGGGCCTTCACCACTGATTTAGCTTATATTTGGTCTTATTTTTAGTAGAGTCTCAAGCTCCTGCGTGACGTTGTGCAAGGCCCAGATACCATGGCTCTTAATTCAGCAGAGTATTTCCAAAAACTAGTCTAAAAGTTGTACTGTTGCAGAAAACAGTTTGACTGTCCCAACTGAAAACAGTATTAGCTGAAGTGCAAGACAGCAAAAGGGGCAGGCAGCACTGGAATGGCAACCCTGGGTCATTACACAAAAGGGAAGAAAGACTATAGAGTATGTTTGGGTAATGCAGCCAATATTCACATCTGATTGCCTCCCACATCTCAAATCAAGCTAGCAACATAACATTTATGTACAGTAGAACCTCAGGGTTACAAGCACCAGAGTTTTGAAATGACCAGTCACCCACACACTTCATTTGAAGCCAGAAGTACGCAATCAGACAGCACAGAGACCCCAAAAAAGCAGATACAGTATTGTACTGTGTTA